CTCAAGTACTTATAATTTTTAAGTTGAGAACATTTGAAATTTACTCTTAGCAATTTTGAAATGTATGATATGTAATTATTAACTTTTAACCACACTGTGCATTAGTTCTCAAAAAAAAATCTTTGTATCTACTGTCTGAGATTCTGTACCCTTTGACTATTTCCCCCAACCCCTAGCCTCTGCAATCACTTGTCTACTCTCTCTCTCTCTCTCTTTTTTTTGAGACGGAATTTTCACTCTTGTTTCCTAGGCTGGAGTACAATGGCATGATCTCAACTCACTGCAACCTCTGCCTCCTGGGTTCGAGCGATTCTGCTGCCTTAGTCTCCCTTATAGCTGGGATTACAGGCATGCACCACCACACCTGACTAATTTTGTATTTTTAGTAGAGATGGGGTTTCTCAATGTTGGTCAGGGTGGTATTGAACTTCTGACCTCAGGTGATCTGCCTGCCTCAGCTTCCCGAAATGCTGGGATTACAGGCGTGAGCCACCGCACCTGGCCGAGATTCCTAAATACTGGGTTTGGTGTCTAATTAATTTTGTCAATTTCTTGTTGACTATTACTTCAGGTACTCCCTAAGCTTGATTCTCTCTTCTTCTGATATTTCAGTTATGCATATGGTGCACCACTTGGGACTGTGCCACTGTTCTTTGATGTTTTGTTTTATTCATTGTTGTTTTCTTTTTGCATTTCTGTTTTAGAAGTTTCTATTATCCTATCTTCAAGCTCACTGATTTTTTTCCTACGCTTTGACCAACAATGTACCCAACAATGGCATTCTTTATTTCTGTTACAGTGTTTTTGATATCTAGTATTTTGTTTTGATTATCCCTTGTTTTATTATCCCTATCTGTGCTTACATGTTTTCCTTTTCCTTTAGTACCATCAATATATTAGTCATAGTTACTTAAATTGCCTGTCTAGTAATTACAAAATCTGTTTCATATCTGAGTCTGGTTCTGATACTTGCTTTTTCTCTTCAAATTACCTTTTGAAATTCCTCGTAATTTTATATTGAAAGCTGGACATGATATAGTAATAAGATTCAGGTAAGTAGACTTTTGTGTGAGGTTTTACTTTGTGCTGCATTTAATGTTTAATTTAGCTGTGGGTGCCAGAGGCATCAATTCCTCTAGCATCCTTGTTTTTGCCTCCGAGTCTTTTTTGGTATCTCTAAGAACTTGTTAGGTGAGATCTGTCTGGCAGCTCTTTCAGATGTTGGTGCTCTGTTGGTGTTGCGGTAAAGTATGGGGGAGGAGAAGCATTCTGTAATCTTATGATAAAGTTTTAGTCTTTAGTGGGCTTGTATTTCTAGACTGTGAACTTCACAAGTGTTTCTTTGCTCCTCCCAGTTAGATGAGACAGAACAGCTACAGGGGGTTGAAGTTGGGAACTTCCCTTTCTGGATGGAATACAATGTTCTGATTAAGCCTTTTCTTCTGGAGAGTATGATTTTTTTTTTTATGGATAATGCTCTGGGTATGTTTCACAATGATTACTTTTTTCCTCTCTTCATCCCAGAGCCTTGAGGGGATCTTTCTTGACTCTTTACTGATAATTTAGTGGGACATTTGGAATCTGGTGGCGCATCCATGAAAGTGTGGAGGTAGGCCTTGAGACTGTAGGGGCCCCTAGGAGTTCCTCACTCTTAAGCTAGACCCCCGTCAGCCTCCAGCAGTTTGTCAAAATTACCATTTAGGTCTTCCTACCATTTACTGTTTCTACTGGCTGCTTCTGCAGATAAGCAGATCTTGGCTGTAATGTTTTGGATTTGTTTGCCTCTCCAGATTTCAGGATGATGATTTGCTTTGCAGTATCAACTTTCCGATGAGTCCAAGAAAAGTCACTGATTTTTCAGTTTGTTCTGTCTTTTTCTTATGTGAGGACAGGAGTGATGACTTTCAAGTTTTTTTACATGTCAGTTGAAAGTGAAAGTCCTATAATTACTTTTATATTTTAATATTTTTAGTTTTCTCATTTTTTCATTTCGGAATTTCACCACAGTGGTGAAGGTCAAAATTGACACTAATTACAATGACAAGAACAAGGAAAAATAATAATAGTTTTTACATTAAATGGAGATGTTTATGTTGCTAGATAACTAGGTGAGTGAATAGGAGTTTATCCTTCTATATTTTTTGTGAATCCTGTACAATTTCTAAGAATCACCAACTGAACAATGTTGGGATACATTTGTCTAGATCAGAGATTGGCAATTTTTTCCTGAAAAGAGCTAGATAGTAAATATTTTATGCTTTGCAGGCCATGTTGTCTTTGTTGTAGCTACTCAGCTTTGCAATTGTAACACAAAATTGTTAATACTTAAACAAATGAGTGTGACTATATATTTCAGTAAAGTTTGTCTATAAATACAGGGTGTGGGCCAGATTTGACCCATGGGCCATAGTTTACCAATTTGTGGTCTAGAACAACGGTTTTTAATGTTTGTTCCCTATCTCTCATCCTGTAATGAGTGTCAGTAGATGGTAGATTATTTGCATGGTAGTATCAGTAGATCATTTGCAGATGTTTTACCATATTCAGGTATTGTCCCATGTTGGGATGAAGGGTTTCATATATTAATTGGAAGGGTTCAAAAGTCTTAAGAGTCATAGGTTTAGGCCTTATTTGTAAGTTTAAAACCTACCTCAAAGTTGCCATGAAATGTGATTCTTGTTCGCTTAATATGATAACAAAAAAATCTGCAACTGCATGTCATATATTAATTTTAAAATAAGTACTTTTATTATTTCACTTTATAATGTAGGCATATTTGATATTTTAAAAGTGAGATAACAAGTTTTGCTCAAGATCAATAGATGGGGCCAGGACTGGAATTCACCAGCAACCTGAGTTCCACAGTAGAGCTCTTTTCAGCAAGTAATATATATCACCCATGGCAGTTGGAGGTGGTGTCAGTAGATTGAAAATTAACCTTCAGAGATCAGTTCTGGGGCTTTATTCTTAATAAGCAAAGTGAGATACTCTTTGTTTTAGTTAATTCTATGTTGGGCATTATTTCAAAGCATCTTGGAAGACAGACAGAAATAGATATTCAAGTTGCTGAAATGAATCAGATGAGTGATTTTGTATAAAAATTATAGAACATTTAAAGTGAAAGGTATCTTAGAGACCATCTAACTCAAATATCTAATTTTAGAGATAAGAAACCTGAGACCTGAAGAAGCTAGGTGACTTGGGGGCCAGTATGGTTTAATAAAAGAGAATAATAGTCCTGGAAGCTCATAACAGAAGTATGCCAGGGCTGGCTGGCCCTAGCTTCAGAGAGTTAATTGTTAATTTTTTAGCAGTTTTCATGAGCCAGTTATTAAATACTTTCACAATTAAAAATTATATATAAACTCACACATTGTATTAAAACAAAGGTATTATATGCTTAATCTCTATCACTAATTATTTTACTATGTATTTCTGTTATCTGTGTTCTCGAGGTTGTTTACATCTGCTACATTTATATAGTGGACATGTTATATAATGGTGCCCTCTCCAACTCTATGTTCAGTGATGTCACATTGATAACTTAAAAATGACCATAGGCAAGGATCATGGAAATTGGCAAACATTATAGCAAACTGTCACCCCTGCTGGGCCCCGAACCCCAAGCCAATTGATTAATATTTACCAGTATCTCATTGGTCATGACTACTGTGTTATATACTTGTTTATGTGTTTAGTTTTGCTGCAAGACTGTGAGTTCCTTATGGTTTGGAACTTAATGTCTGTAGAATCCAGCACAATGCTTAGAGTTTAATCGAAAGACAAATGTTTTTAATTATTTAGTCTTTGATTCAAATCCTGGTTCCATCACTTACCTATCAGTATGACCTTGGTTATTTTCACCTCTGTTGATTATTTAAAATGGGAATGATAATACCAGCCTTTTGGGATTGTTGTAAGGATTAATGAGAAGACCCAGAAATGTGTCTGGTATACAGTAGGTGCACAAAAGTAGTAGATTACTACTGTTATAACCTAAGAAGTAGACATAAATGCCATTAGGGTCCAGGCTTATATTGTATTTTATTGTATGCACAGCTTTGTATTAAGTGTTTGACCACAAACTGGATGAGAATCAAGAATGCGGTACTGTTATTTTTGTGTGCATATATAATTCTCCTTCATACACAAAATAATGAGATAAATTAAAAAGAATATGATATATAAAAGGCAGGAAGCAATCCTTCTGTTATTTTTGGCATTGCTCAGACTCATATTACAGTGTTATTCAGTTTTACATTGCTCATTTTAAAGAGGATGTCACAAAACTATATGTAGTGTGTCCTGGGAAGAATCAACAGCTATGATTAAAGGGATAGAAAAATAGGCCCTTTGAGGGAAGTTTAAGGAACTGAGTTTGTTTACTCTGGAAAGGAGATGGTAACGGAGTTACCTAACTGTCTTCAAGTATATAAAGGGTTAGTTTAGGAAAGGTACTCTCAAGTTCTTCAAATGCACAGTGGACTAAAAGAGGAAATAGACATTTCATTTAAAGAAAATTGTGTTAAACACTTAAATTGCCTATCAAGAGGTATCATGGAATCTCTGTTTTTGAAAATATTTAAAAAGAGTAGCAGCAGATGGTTATTTATTGAAAGGTTTAAATGTCTGACCTCATGAAAGTCAGAGGTAGGATTGTAGATGTTGTAGCCTTTTCTGCTTCTTTGATATTGATATGATTTTCTTATATTTTCTGTAATTTACCAAGCATATTCCAGCTATCTTATTGGAAGACCACAATTTTGATAGAATTATATTTTAGCTTGCATTGCATGTTAATTGCTGGATTTATCTTGAATGAAAACATTTAGTATTATCAATCTGCTAGTAAGCAATTTAAATGAAAGTTGTAACTGTGAAACACTTGACATTTGTATTTTTACACCCATTTTTACATATCTGAAGGATTACTCTAGTATTCATTAAGATTTTTGCCCCAAGTAATACATTACAAATATTTTGTAACTCTTTTGTGACAGGGAATCCTCTTGGTGTATGATATTACAAATTATCAAAGCTTTGAGAATTTAGAAGATTGGTATACTGTGGTGAAGAAAGTGAACGAGGAGTCAGAAACTCAGCCACTGGTTGCCTTGGTAGGCAATAAAAGTAAGTTATTACTGCTTATTTATGTATGGTAAAGTTTACTTGCTGTTGTGGACAGAATGTTTGTGTCCCCTCACCACCCCCAATTTATATGTTGAAGACCTAATCCCCAAAATGATGGTATCTGGAAGTGGGGTTTTTGGGAGGTAATTAGGTCATCAGAGTGGAGCCCTTAATAATGACATCTGGCAGGGCACAGTGGCTAATGCCTGTAATCTCAGCATTTTGGAAGGCCAAGGCGGGGGATTGCTTGAGTCCAGGAGTTTGAGACAAGGTTGGCCAGCATAGTGAGACCCTTGTCTCTATTTAATTAAAAAAAGAATGGGATTAATATCTTTATAAGAGACATGAGAGATAATAATTTTCTCTGCCATATGAGGATATAGCGAGAAGGTGGCTATCTGCAAACCAGTAAGAATGCCCTCACTAGATGCTGCATCTGTCAGTGTCAGTACCTTGATCTTGGACTTTAGTTACCAGAATTTTGAGAAATAATATTTGTGGTTTAGGCCATTAATCTATGCCATTTTGTTATGGCAGCCCAGTTGAGGACTTCCCAACACATTTGCCTATCCTGTAGTTTTAATTCCTACAAAGAAAGAGTTGATATTTGGAAACAGCTTTTCTAGAGTGAGCAAATTATTTGAGTAGAAAATTCCTAAGAATGTATACAATCTTTTCAGTAACTGTTTTGATGCATGGTCTGTCATAACTGCTTCACTGCTTCAGTCAATTCCTGTGAAGGTAAGTTTAGTTCTGACGGTGTGTGTTTTGGCTTCCTGTGGTCTGAGAAAGCAGCATGGATTATTAAGAACAGCAACACAGCTGCAGATTTTATGATATTACATTGCAGTTTCAGCTCTGTCCCAGAGGTTTTGAGTGATACATTTCATTAAATGATCCCCTATTTTAGGGAAGGAAGAAGTGTCTATATTGGAATTTTATATGCATTGTTTCTTGCTCGTGTCTCATATAAATTTCATTTTCTAAATTTTTGGGTTTGTTCTGAAATAGATTTTTTTTTTTTTCCTGAGAAATAGTATATTAGGGAGAAGAGCAGTTCTTGGTAAAAATTAGGGTTTGTAAATAATTTCAAGACCTGTCTCTTGGGCTATGATAGATAGAGAAAAATTATAAAACTGAACTCAGTACATGACTGTATTTTGGTTCCTAGTCCTGCAATGTAGTAACTTAGAAAAAGAGACATTAGTAAAGGTTTTCAAATATAGTCATGTGTTGCTTAACAACAGGATATGTTTTAAGAAATGTATTGTTAGGCACTTTCATTGTGTGAACATTATAGAGTATATATTAGGGTTCTCTAGAAGGATATAACTAATAGGATATAGTTATATGTGAAAGGGAATTTATTAAGGAGAATTGACTCACACAGTCACAAGATAAAGTCCCACGATAGGCCATCTGCAAGTTAAGGTGCAAGGAAGACAGAAGTGGATCATTCTGAGTCCCAAAACCTCAAAAGCAGGGAAGCCGACAGTGCAGCCTTCAGTCTGTGACTGAAGGCCTGAGAGTCCCTGGCAAACCACTAGTGTAAGTCCAAGAGTCCAAAAGTCAAAGAACTTGGAGTTTCATGTTTGAGGGCAGGACGCATCCTGCACAGGAGGAAGATGGAGACTGGAAGACTCAGCAAATCTGCTTTATTCTAGCCATGATGACAGTTGATTAGAGAGTGCCCACTCAGATTAAGGATAGGTCTGCCTCTCCCAGTCCACTGACTCAAATGTTAATCTCCTTTGGCAATACCCTCACAGACACACCCAGGAAGAATACTTTGTATCCTTCAATCAAGTTGACACTTAATACTTACCATCACATAGATAGTGTATTTATACAAATCTATATGGTATGGCCTACATACCTAAGCTATATGGTATCCTGTTGCTCCTAGGCTACAAACTTGTATGTTAACATACCAATACTGTAGGCAATTATAACACAATGGTGAGTATTTATGTGTCTAAGCATAGAAAAGGTAGAGTAAAAGTATGTTATAAAAGCTCCGTTATAATCTTATGGGACCACTATCATATATGTGGCCCATTGTTGATGGAAACATTGTTATGCAACACAGGACTGACTCAATGTATTCCAAGTTATTTGACATCAGAAAAAGAGAAAATGACTTCAGATTTTACCATGGAGGATTTAGATCAGGTATTTCCTGACTGCAAGGGTTGTTAAATCAATATGTACATATATTACCGAGAGAATTATCTTTTCCAAAGGTCTTAAAAAATGTAGTACTTTTTTTTTCTCTGTAATTGTTTAGGAAGCAGTGCTTCCTGAAAGACCAAACCAAGATTTCTGCATTATGTGGCTTTGCACACTAGATGAGCATTTCATAAGTTCAAGTTTAATTTAAAACCATGATGACACAGGTGTGAAAAATACAGACATTATCATACGCTCTGGAAAACCATATTACATATCATAAAATGTTATGGCTTGCATAGAAATTGTAGTTTGCTTTTTTAAAAGCTTTAAATTTTGCTCATCTGTTTTGCAAACAATTCTTTTTAATTGAGTGAATCAGATGCTTTTCAGTTCATTGAAAATCCCCCTTTGCAAATCATGTTTTGATGAGCTTAAGCTCTATTTCTGGGTTCAGCTTCTCAGTTTAGTTGTCATTCAAAGCATTGGGTTATATTATGGTTAAGTGTGTGCTTTACTGGAGGCTTCCCATTACCTTATGAGAAATTATAGCGTCTCTGAGGGAGAGGAGTTACGATTTATTTTAATTTCTTTCAGGACATAATCTAACTGCCATTTGGGATAATGGTGTAGTGGTGTATAATTATATACATTATGTTATGTATATCCTATCTTGTGAGGCATCCACCATTGGTCATTGTCAAAGACAGGCTGTTAGAGTTAGATGGGCTCTTGGACTGGACTAGTGGTGGCATTCCCAGGTTTTAAAAACAAATGTTCATATAAGTTATTTGAATTTATGTAAGAAATTAATGCAATGTTATGTTTGAGATTTAATAGCATAAAAGTCAAGAGTTTTCCTTTTTTTACTTTTGGCTTAGTTATAACCCCTTTCTTGTATGTATTTATAATACGCTCTTTCAGAATGAGATTATATAACAGTGTATGCAGTCACATAGAATGTTATATATGTAAGATAAAGATATTATAGATGAATATTTTCCTGAATATTATTTACTACATAATCTGTCACTGGCCCAATTTCATGTAATCACGTAATGAAAGAGCCTTCTGCAATTAAGCCTATTAAGGCTTTAACTCTGAGTCTCCTGAATATATTTTGATTTCTATGTCCAAATTGATGTTATATTTGTTATGGTATTGTAGTATGTACTTACTTTCTTTTGGGGGGATATAATTATATTAAAAATCAATAAAATTTACAAACAGACTTTTCACGCTGGTTAAAGGCAAAGCAAGAGTTGTGATGGAAAGACATATGAAGCTGGATTATTATGCTCATTACCTAAATGTAGTCATCTTCTTCCTAAATGTGGTTTTAAAATTTATCATTGTGTCCCTTTTTTTGTGACTTAAGTAGAAAGCATATGTTGAAAAGAAATGTGTAGGCTATGGAAATATTGGTAGCAGTAGTCAGCTTTTAGTTAAAGTTAGCAGAAGGAGGGAGATAAAAAGATAGAGTGAACACACATTTCCATAAAAAAAGAGAGTGTGTGTGAACTTATTTCATGCTAAGAGCTTATAACAGTAAGTTATAAGACTATTTGCTTTTTATTAAAATATAGTAAACACTTCAGAAATTTGGGCTGAAGATAGAGGATATTCTGATATAAAGATGAATTATGGACTTATTTTATGAAAAGTTAAATTTTATGCTTAAATATTACGGATTAACTAGAGTAGGTTAATGAAATGGCTAATAGAGGAAGAGATTTCTTTTAATGAAATGGAAAGAATGATTGGTAACTAGTACATTAACTATTTCAATATATAATTCTTAAAAATGTACAATTATTAAAATGAAATATTCTGTGTTCTATTTTGAAAGAATATCAGATGCTAATTAGTATTATTTTGTTTAAGTACTAAATGAAATATTGCAGTCATAGAGCTTTGAATTTAGACAAACTTTGCTTACAAGCCCAATTGCTTCACTCTAGAGCAGTGTGATATCATACAAGTTACTTTACGTTTTTAAGCCTCAGTTTCCCCCATCTGGAAATGAGGGTAATAGTTTATGTTGGATAAAGCTGATTTAAAGATTAAATAAGATATTGTGTGAAAAGCACTGTGCTTGTGGTCTTTTGCATAGTAAGTGCCCAGTAACTATAAATTAGTTTATTAATCATAATGGCCTTTTAAAAGTACTGAGCATAGATAGCTTCAACTTGATTTATCGCAAATTGCAAATCAGTAGAGCTAAAATTCATGCTCTGTGCAACTTTCCTGGAGAAAATGTTTATTAAAGAATTTCCTTATTACCATCTTTTTTCTGTCCTCCCCCTCCCCCAGCCACCTGCCAGAGATTGATAGTTCTCATATTAGGTGTTGGGTAGGGCCATTCTTTCGCTAAACATTTTTGAAAGTCTGCTATGTGTATTAATCTAGTCATTGTTAATTTGCTGAAAGGTTGAGACAAAGAGTCTTTAAGGAGTGATGGGAACCTGCCAAACTAGATCTTAGTCTTATTCTTTTTCACTGTCATCTTCAAACTATAAAAAAGAAATTTCTTTGTTTTGCTCTGTCTGGTTGTTGGATTAATAAATACACTTAACTTTAGCAAGATGACTTTAGCACGATGATTGACTAGAGACATGTGTCACTTGGTGTTTGAGAGCCCATGAGGGCAGTATGGAGACAACCAGCCACTGCAGCCCCATCTCCCCTTCCCATAACAGATCGGTCTAGAGACAGGAGAGACTTGTAGGGAAAAGGTAAGCAGCAGATTCCTACTAGTCCCCATTGCCACCACAAACATCTACATTCCTTACTACAGGAGAATCCCGCAGTTCTCGTAAGCCCTGACTCTA